TCCTAGTTGTGAAAGATATTCCTCAAATTTCCTACGTGTAAAAATCCTATGTTTTAACTCATTACGGATTGTCTTTCCAATGAGATATTTTTTTATGCATATGACAATAATGTTAATCAAAATTACGCACATGAAATACTTAGAAATTTTCGAGTCTCATCCACCCATTCTAAATCATTGCCGCAATAAATTTCAGGAATTAAAATAGAAATCCTCTCCAGTGGAGTCGCCAAAAAACTATAGGGAATATTTCAAGTATTACCCCTAGCTTGAACCCCACTGTGATCATACACTAAAGTACGGTGGCGTTCAAAGGGAAAGAAGATAGAGCAAAAGAGTCGCCAACAAGTTTTAGAAACTTGTAAACCGTTCACGAGGTGAAGGTTACACCCCTTAACGATCCAGGAGATCGTTAACTCCAATAGGTCTGGAACCATGACTGGTGTTCGGGGATGAAGGTACAAATCCAACCTAAAAGAGATTGAACCTGCCCTAATAATAGGCCTCTACTTTATTCTGATCGTATTCATGTGCGCTTTCTGGCTAACATGCAATCAATAGGATTAACCCTAAACCTGTTTATCTATGTTGGTTGAATATTAATGCACAAACAAATCTAGTATTGGCGATCACTTTAATTATAATCAAATTAACCCTGAACAAGATTATTAATTATCTTATTAAGCGTGATTACAAGTACCAATTCTCTTTAAACATGCATAAAAGGTGTGATCAAGCAATAACAATAAATATACCAAGCAACATAATAAACAACAATAATAATAATAATAATAATAATAATAATCATAATAATCATAATTATAAAAATTATAACCATAAAAATAACCATGTTAATAATAAAGCATAATGATAATAGCAAGATCCTAGGCATGATATTAACAAGATTAATAACAAACCCTAGCATGTTACTAAACATTAAAAATCAAAACTTTAACCCTAACATGAAACTATTAGGAAAGACAATAAAAGGCATCATAGAAATCACAATTGTCACATTTGATATTAAAGTTACCCTAAACATGATACTAGGAACTTATTGTTGTCACCCTAAACCATCAAATTAAGGCAACTTCGAACTATGCTAGGTGTTTCTAGGTCTTGTGAATGCGAAATTTTGTATAGAGGTTGGTTTAGAAAAGAGAGAAAGAAAGCTTTAGCTCAGAGAGAGAAGAGAATTAGAGAATAGGCGATATATCAGAATATTTGATTGTAGATGATATTTGATGATCGGAAACAGAGTTTTTAGGAGGCTATTTATAGAAAAAATCAGCCAAAAAGATAGAAAAACGAACCAGAGTTCTGACGTGAAAAAATGAAGTTAGCGCCAGACGCTGACATTAGCGCCAGACGCTGACATTAGCGCCAGACGCTAATGTCTAATGTTAGGCGCTAACAATATTTTTGACGAGTTTTCTAAAATCAGATAAAATTTAACCGTACAAGAGGTTAAAATCGTATATTCCTCAAAAACACTCTTTTATTCTGATTAAAATTCCAAAAAGTCAACAAAAGTCAATTTATCAATGCTAATTGAATTAGGAACGAAAAGAACCTTCTAGAAGAATCTAGAAGACTAAAACCATTCCTAATTGCATTAGGAAAGATAAATCCATATTAGGCCCTCCCCTAGATCATTAGGCCGCATATAAGGCTCAAACCGGGCCCAGTTTAGTAATTTGACCATAACTTCCTCAATATTCATCGGAATTGAGCTTATAATATATCGTTGGAAATCTCTTTTCAAGCCCCATCCAATTACACTATTATTGGACCCTTGCTATGAACCAACCAAACTGGATTGGCTGTTTTCTTAAAACAGGTATTTAAAAACAGAGAGAAAAGAAAAGAAATTAAAACTATCCGCAACACTAGACTTTCCACACTTTCACTTCATTCGATTATGATTCGACGTGAAAGGTACTCATCACCGGGTTTTGTTTTGGGGAGACACAAATGGGTGTCTACACAACCATATAAGATTTGGATAAATATTATGAGGCACAAAAATAATATCTTACTGTATTTGAACTTCTTTAAATTCAAATAGAATTAGGACTTAAAAAAGGAAAGTTTTTATTCAATTTCAAATTTTATGATCTTATCCTTTCAAAAAGGATAATTAAGATCTTTAAGAAACTTATGGAATTTTCTAATTAATCCTAATTAGTTTAGGAATAGGATTAAACCTTTAGACCATCCACATGATCATTGGGTCGTAGGTAAAATCCGATTTGGGCCCAGTTTAGTATTTTGGCCACAACTTCTTCATTATTCATTGGAATTGGGCTTATAATATATCGCTGGAAAGGTCTTTTCAAGATCCATCCAACTACACCATTATTGGACCCTTATCATGGACCAAACTAAATTTGACTGGCTATTTTGATAAATAGAGTAAAAGAAGAAATATTTTTGAAAACAGAAAGAGAGATATTTTAATAAAAACATCCACATCACTAGAATTTTAAAACTTTCAGTTCGTTCGATAATCAAATGACATGAAAGGTATTCATAACTGGGTTTGGTTTTGGGGAGACACATTTGGGTGTCTACAGTTATGGATGATGAATTTGATGCTCTTATTAAAAATAAAACATGGGAGTTGGTGCCCTATCCTCCGCATGCTAATGTGATTTATTCTATATGGATTTTTACTCATAAAGTCAAAGCTAATGGTGTGTTTGAGAAGCATAAAGCCTCTCCTGTAGGTGATGCTAAAACACAGCAGGTTAGCATTAATTGTGGTGAGACTTTTAGTCCGGTAATCAAACTGGCTACAATCTGCACGGTTCTGAGTTTTTCTTTATCCAAGGCTTGGCCAATTCATCAATTGAATGATAAAAATGCTTTTTTCATGGCGAGCTACATTAAACTGTTTATATGTATCAACCTTTGGGCTACAAGGATCGTGATCAGATCATCCAGATTATGTTTGTCTATTATATTACATAAGTCATTATATGGTCTTAAACAGGCACCCCTGGCTTGGTATAAACGTTTTGCAGGTTATGTTTTGTCTATTGGATTCACTTATAGCAAGTGCGATCAACAATTCTTTGTTTAATTTTCTCAAGGGGTTAGAAATGGCTTACATCTTATTATATGTTGATGACATTATTCTCACTGCTTCTTCTGATGCTTTGCGGTGTTCGATCATGGAACTACTTAGTTCTGAATTTTCTATGAAGGATCTAGGTCCTCTAAATTATTTTCTAGGCATTACGGTGACATGACATAAGGGTGGTGTGTTTCTTTCACAGCGCAATATATGCCGAATAAATTATTGAGTGAGCAGGGATGTCTTCGTGTAATCCATCCGTGATGGACACTAAGTCAAAGGTTAGTGCTACTTCTAGTGCTACTTTTGATGATCTTACTCTATATAGGATCCTTGCAGGGGCCCTAAGCTATAATACCTTACTTTTACTTGCAGGGTTTCACACCATCAAATTGGTCGAGCTTGGTGTTTGTAAATTGCACATCAAGATGTAGAGCTCTTGCAGACTTGTTATTGAGAAAAAAAAAATCTTCAAATACTTCCAAGCATCAATAGCCTTGTAATCGGGATCGATAATGGAATTTAGAAGGTCATTGGAGATAGTATTGTAAATCCATTGACGAACAATATAATGTCATTAAGTCGTTGTCATGGCACTGTATCAGAAATTTCAGGAGTCTTTTCCTTCTCATTAACAGCCGATGGTATGATATGATCGATCACCAAATTCGTGAGGCAATGAAGTTGGAAAAAGGTAGACCAAATGTTGTATTGAGTGCCCTCGTAACCAAGAACAACAGGAATGCAAGTCTTGATGTTGGTGACAAGGGTGGCTGGGTGAATTCTCTGTCCGACCATGGAGGAAAACCGAAGAAGAGAGGAAGGAGAAGAATAGAGAAGATGAGTGGAAGAGTATTAGGGTTTCGGATCGAAAAACCTAGACTCGTGATACCATGAGAGAATATGAGAATATTGGTTGTGCCTTTCTCATTGATTGAACATTAGTATTTATACAAGGGTAATACTACGGTTAGCAGGGGCGGACTATAAGAGGGGCTCCACTGGGCTTGGCCCCTGATGAATTTTGGAAAAAAATCCAAAAGTGATGACTTTATGTGAATGAGGCTAGTAAACTACGAAGTAAGGAAATTTTAGAAAAGGAAAAGATTCCTTCTTTCCCAATTCCCAAAAAAACTACTTGATAATTGTGAAACCTACTTCTTTAACCCTTTTCCCTGCACTCCCTCTACTCCGTATTATATAATTCGTATTCCTCAATTCTCATCAAGTTATCAATATCATTAAACAATTGATAAATTTTCCAAGGTTCCAATTTAATTGCAATTTCCAAGAACAAATTACAAATTTACAATATCACTATATAAGGTATTTTACTCGACTATTTGTTTTTCAGTTTTTGTTTTCAATAATTTTTTTACTTTTTGCAATTTAATTTTTTTTATGTTGTACTGTGTAGTACTGTATTGATTAATTTGAGCATTAATAAACAAATTGATAATTTTAGGTGACAAGACGTTATCAAAGTGAATAAATTACTTAGTTCAAAGTATAGAGCATGTTATACCTTCGGTATGTCGTTCTTTATTTCTCTATTACTCCCTCCGTCCCTAAATTACATTCTTGTTTTCCTCTATTATGTGAAGAATAAATGTTAGAAATAGGAATGTAATTTAGGGATAGAGGGAGTAATATTTATCAATTGATAAGTTATTTTTAACTTCTGATTTACACTTGTGATTTGTGAATTGTAATGCATTGATAATTAACAAATTAGTCACTAATGAATGTATGCTTAATTGCTTAAAGTTAGTTTCTTGTTTTCATTCATATTATATTTTATAATTGGTTGTTACTTGTTAGAATCAAATAATTAATTAAAACATAATTTATTTATTTTCAAGAAAGATGTAGGACATTTATAAAATAAATTTAACTTATAACTAATTTCAGGTAAACAAATATGAACAAACAAAAATCTATTACCTCCTTTTTCAAACGAAAAGAGCCAGAAAATGACACAACACCCGACGAAAATAATCCAGTTAATGAAGATACTCCTACCCGGACACATAATCATGAAGAAGGTCCATCGATCATTGACAATGACAATGTGGATATCAATTCTTTAGAACGTGATCCAGGGTTACGTCCTCCAATATGGGCTTATCCAATTGGAAAACGAAATGAAATAAGACGTGCTTATATTAAATTGGGGCCTTATCAACCTCAATTGGCAGAATATCCCTTTTCAGGGCCTACAAAGCATCGTCGCCGATTTCAATCTACTTGGTTTGTTAAGTTCCCAGATTGGTTGGAATATTCACCTTCTAAAGATGATGCGTTTTGTCTACCTTGTTATCTATTTACTGAAACACCAAATTCTCGGGTAAAAACGTTTACTTTGACCGGATTCAAAAATTGGAAAAAAAGTCAATGACGGGAAACGTTGTGGGTTCCTTGCTCATATTGGAGAAGGTCCATGTACAGCTCATCGAAATGCGGTTCAATTGTACATGACTCTTCCTAAGCAAAAAGCAAAGATTCGTAATGTTTTTTTACAAACAAAGTGAAATGCAGCAAAATCGATTGCGTTTAAAGGCCTCTATCAATGTCCTTCTCTTGTTGACTACACAATCTTGTCCTTTAAGAGGTCACAATGAAACAAATAATTCTGAGAATCAAGGAAACTATCTTGAATTCAGAAAGGTGTTGGCTGCATATAATAAAGATGTTTCCAAAGCTATACGACAAGCTCCTTATAATGCCAAATATACTGCTCCCTCGATTCAAAAAGAGATTCTCCATATTATTTCGAATAAGGTTCCCAACTATATTAGACAAGAAATTGGTAACTCCAAATTCTGTATTATTGTTGATGAGGCTCGAGATGAATCTAAAAGAGAGAAAATGGTTCTTGTTTTAAGGTTTGTTGACAAATATGGAACAATTAGGGAGCGATTTTTTTACCTTATACGAGTTTCCGATACCACGGCAGCAACACTTAAAAGAGAATTGTGTTCAGTTCTTGCTCGACATAATTTATCTGTTGAAAATATTCGAGGGCAAGGATATGATGGTGCTAGTAACATGAGAGGTGAGTGGAATGGTTATCAAGCATTATTTCTTTCTAATTGTCCATATTCTTATTATATCCATTGTTTTGCTCATCGTTTACAATTAGCATTGGTTGCCGCATCTAGAGATGTTAGAGTAATACATCAATTTTTTTCAAATTTGACTTTCATTATCAATGTCATTGTTTCATCTCTTAAACGAGTTGACCAATTGCAATCCATCAAATCTGATGAAATTAAAAGGCTATTATCAATTGGTGAAATAGATAGTGGTAGAGGATCTAATCAGACGAGTACTTTAAAAAGAGTTGGAGATACACGTTGGGGTTCACATCTTTACTCTATTCGTAGCTTGATGAAAATGTTTGATGCAACAATGTTAGTACTTGAACACATCTCAAATGATAAGTATAGTAATTCTTCTCAACGTGGAGATGTTGATGTTGCTTTATATCTAATGATTTCCTTTGATTTTGTGTTCATTGCCCATTTAATGGAAGAAATTTTGGGAATTGCTAATGTTCTATGTCAAGCCTTATAACAAAAGTTCCAAGATATTGTCAATGCTATGAAATTAGTGTCTACAAATCATGCACTGATTTAGGATATGAGAGAAAATGAATGGGAAAGTTTTTTAGAGTCGGTGGTATTGTTTTGTCACCAACATGATATTTTAATACCTGATATGAATTCTCCTTATATAGCTTGTAGGGGTCGAGCTCGTCATCAACAAGATCAAGTTACAATGAATCATTTTTATTGAGTTGAAATATTTTTGGGTGCAATTGACAAACAATTACAAGAGCTAAATTGCAGATTTAATGATGATGCTTAAGAGCTCTTAACTTTATTATCTTTGTTAGAGCCTAAAGAAGGATTTAAAAATTTTGATCTTGAGAAGGTTTGCTTGGTTGCAGAAAAGTTTTACCCCATGGATTTTACGGAGCAAGAAAGGTATCATTTGAGGTATCAATTGCAACACTTTTTTTGTGAAGCAAAAAATAGCCTAGTTTGACTCATCATTCTACCTTGGAGGAATTTTGCGAACACTTGGCACAAACAGGAAAATCAAATGTATAATTTTTGTTTGATAGACTAATACGTTTAGTTTTGACTCTTCCTGTCTCAACAGCTACCACTGAAAGAGCATTTTCTGCAATGAAGATCATGAAAACAGGACTACGTAACAAGATGGAGGATGAGTTTTTGGCCGATAGTTTAGTTATTTCCATTGAAAGGAAGATTTCTAAGTTATTTAGTACTAAGTCGATAACTGATGATTTCAAATTATTAAAAGAAAGACGAGCCTTACTTTAATAGTTTGCTAGCTTAGAGAAATAGATTGTGACATTTGTATGAGAAAGAATAAGATTGTGACACACTGACACTTGCATTTTTTTATTGTTTGGTAATATTTATTATATTTCGCTATATTTATACTCCTTGTTATTGTTTTAGACGTACACTTATGTTAGATATAATTGGCCCCCGAAAGAAAAGGTTTCAAGATCCGCCACTGAGGGTTAGAGCTAAGGAAACATTAGAAAAATACAACTACTAATATACACTATATTATTTACATAATCTAACATAATGTAAAATAATAATCGAAACTTTGATCTCAAACTTAGGCCCTGTTCTGTTCACCTTAAAAAAATAATATTAAGTAAAAATAATTTTAATACCAGTAAAAATAAGTTCAGTTCAGTAAAAATAATTTCAGTTCAATAAAATTAATTTCAGTTCAGTAAAAATAATTTTAGTTCAGTAAAAATCAGTAACTCTAAGGAAGAAATATAATAGAGAATCAATAAAAATAATTTCAGTTCAGCAAAAATGATTTCAGTTCAGCAAAAATAATTTCAGTTTAGTTCAGTAAAAATAAGGTGAAGAGAACAAGGCCATAGGATCAAATACATGAACCAAGAATTTATCTCCTTCCATTGTCCATCTTAATCCTTTCCTTCCATTTTATGTTATACAATGTAATGTAATATTCTCCTGCAAGCCCATACATCTTCATTTTCTTCTTAACTTATTTAACTCAAGTGATCTTTAGTTTTTATATCCCTTAATAATACAAAGTAGCTTAGGTACCATCAAATTAATTAAAATTATCAACAAATTTTACATGTGACCGTAAAATAATTAAAATATAAGGTCAACCATATATACATGCACCTATATGCAACTGATGCATGCATATGAATTGCACAACGCCTCAAAATATTGGAGCCCAAAATATTAAAATTGTTAAAGGATTTAGTACGTAGAATCTAGCAAAGATTGTTCATGTTTATGTTAATAATTATTGTTTGACTAGGCGATGTCCCCCGCTATATTACTTTGAACATTTGTAAAAGGCATAAGCTACAACACCATCTTGAGGGATTTGGATAAGAAAATTTTTACTCTGTAAGTAGAAATAATGAATTAACATTATTTTGACATATAATTCTAAATTAATATCACTTTGAGAAATATTTTAAATGTTTATCAAATGTTTTGAGGACGTTTGTAACAAGATCCTATGTAAAATTATAATTAAATAAATAGAATAATACGTTCTTTGTTTCTTCATTCTATTACTCCGTATTTAATTTATTTTAGCTTTCCATCAAAACCTCTAAAAACATTAAATTGACTTGTGAATCATATGACTTTGACTTAATTCTCTTTATCTTTTGGGGGGGTCTATGAAAGAACTAGAGAGTGAGGGATAACAAAAGTGATTAGAGTTTTTCTCCCGATTCCAGGATATCCTGAGATCAATTCTCATCCTCGCCTTTAAACACAAAAAAAATCTATGAAAGAACGTACTAACTCTCATTGTCTTTTATTCAATGACTATAGCTTAGTTATCGGTAATATGTTGTCAAATAATGTGTTGCCAAATATAGCTAAAATAAACGGAAAACTACTAGTGCATAGGCTTGATTTGTTCATGCATAGGATGACAATGTTTGTAAATAAATTGAAGAATTTGCTGGTCCCATGTACAGCTGGCAGTTATTTGGGTAAAAAGTACTCTACATTACGGTGGAAGCAAAAAAGTAATGGGGTTAGTTTGGAGAAAGCGGGTAAGTAAAATGGTACATCGATATCCATATTGGTACTTTTTATGGTTACAATGATACTTTTTGTGTACTATACATGTATATTACTCCCTTCATCTTTGAAAGAACGATGTATTTGGCCTAATTTTGGTCCCAAAAAGAATGACTCATTTGTTTTTCACAACATCTATTAAAATCACTAAATTACCAATATATCCTCAAATATTTTGTCATATAGCTCCTTCTCCCTATTTTACCCTTGTATTTTTTCAGATTTTTGTGTCATCTCCTCTCTAAATTTCTAAAAAAAAGTTTCTCTCTTCTACCACCATTAATTTTTCTTGTGTTTTCCCATACATTTGAACTTACAAATTATTGATGACTTGTGTTTTCCCATACATTTGTACTTACAAATTAAGTTTCTTAATACCCGTAAAATCAACCCAAATGACTCGTTCTTTCGAGGACGGAGGGAGTATATCGTTATAATATAGATTATCTTAGTAGTACTATTATATTTCACAGTCGTACAATATTTGATGTACAAATATACAATTTACATATTTATTTATACCATTTGAAAAATATTTATACCACTACAACATTGAATGGTACTATTTACCCATTTGATGGTACGCATAACTCAAAAATGAAACAGGCAAACAAAAGTCAGCTCGCCTTCATTAAACCCAACCATGCAAATTTACGCCTTTAACCTCTTTTTACAAACCATGTAAATACCGCCAATGCGCCCAAGGGCAGAGCCAAGGAAGGGGGATGGTGGAGGCCCGGCCCCCTGTGGCCCAATTGCTAGCTCTTAATTTTCAAAAGCTGGCCCCCTTAATATTAGTAGAGATAATAGACTGTCCCAATTATATTACCATACATGTTATAGCTCAATGGTAGAGTCATTATAATTGCATTTTGGGCTAGAGCTAGAGTGTAGTTTGATCCTTGATACAAGCTTTATCCTTTCATTTTAAAAATCTTACCAATTTCTTTTAATCCAATCATTCTTTTATTAATACTTTGGCTTCTTTTATTATTATTATTATTTTTTTTTGGCTTCTAATCCAATCTTTCTTTTATTAATTTTTTAATATATGGTTTATGTTATATAGGGAGTAGAATAATACAATTCAACCATCTTCCACCATTTTTTTTTTTATAATCGCAACATATTAAATTTTTCACTATTTTGCACTATTTTTTTTATTTTTTTTTTTACCATTTTTGTGATTTGTATATTGGGAATCAATAGTCATGTAAGACGCTATTAGAATTGCCTTGATATTTACTTTTAAAAAATCAATTTTTTTTATATAATTTATTAATATATAAGTAAGGTAACATATTAACGCCAACGGTATATATATAAGATACATTATTGACAATCATGAAATTCCTAAAGTAATTTTTTTATTATAAAAATTTAAATTATATATTAGTAAAAAAATTATGGTCAAAGCTAATTTATAATAGTCTTAAAGTTATTGTGCTGTGAAAAAAAATATAGGAGATACAATACGACTATTGTACTATTTTGTTTAATATAAACCTCGGCCCCCCTAATTCTTAATTCCTGGCTTCGCCCCTAAATACGCCTAGTATCACTCAAAGTAAACGAGTGTCAGATGTGTTCATGTGTTTAGCCAAATCATAGAGTACTACCCTCCTTCATGTACCATCCAAACATCCATGCAAATCTGCAATGCAGGACATCTCCCACCATCATAGCCACCAACAATTTAGGGGAAGTACATCTTAATTTAAGTTGTAACTGCAATGCACATTTTTGTACCAAATTACCATAATCAAATATTTTGATACCAAATAACATTCTAACTTCTTTTTTTTTTCTTTTTTGGACACTATCTTTTTGGATACCAAACATGTGATTTTGTGATTATTTGGTACTGTAAATCTATCATAGCTAAACGTTGGGACCTAACAATTTCTTGTCTTGTACAGTTATACCCATTTCAACCAGTAATACAACACAATTACACAGATATTTTTTTTCCTCTTAAAATATCATATAATTTCATGAATAATTACTGTATAATTTTGAACTATCCTTAACTCCTATAAAAACCCCTTAATTAAACTTCTTCATACCCAAGCATCTTCTAGCCCTCTTTAACATCAAAAAAGCCTTCAACAATGCCTTCATTTTCGCCTCATGGACTCACAACACAGACTGTTGTGAGTGGTACTTGGTCAAATGTGACGAAGTCACTCACCGCATCTACTCCCTTATCGTCGATAAAGACGATAAGGTTTCGGGTCCTATCCCTGATGCGGTGGGTGACCTCCCTTACCTTACAGACCTCACATTCCTTGGGCTACCTAAGTTAACCGGTCCAATCCCACACGCGATCTCTAAGCTTAAAAACCTTGAGTCGTTATGGCTTAGCCACAACAACCTCACCGGTCCAATCCCCGACTTTATTAGTCACCTCACTAAGTTAACCTACATTAACCTCTCCGTTAACAAACTCACCGGTCCAATCCCGCCTTCGTTATCATCCCTACACAAACTCGGCACCCTCTTTTTAGAGCGTAACCTACTCAAAGGACCCATCCCCGAGAGCTTCGGAGAGTTTAAGAATAACCCTGATTTTTACCTTAAGTTAGCCAAGAACCAACTTTCGGGACCAATCCCGAAATCTCTAGGCGCGGTTAACTTTACGAATTTAGATCTTTCGAGAAACATGTTGACGGGTGATGCTTCAGTGTTTTTTGGAAAGAACAAGGGATTACAATGGATTGACATTTCAAGTAATAAATTTTCATTTGATCTTACAAAAGTTGGGTTGCCTAAAACCTTGAATAACCTTTTATTGAGTCATAATCAGATTTATGGAAGTCTTCCACCCGCATTAGTAAAATTGCCAATGTTGCAGCAGTTCAATGTGAGTTACAAACGGTTGTGTGGTAAGATTCCAACCGGAGGTGAGTTGAATCAGTTTGACAAGTATTCTTATGTTCATAACAAGTGTTTGTGCGGCTCTCCCTTGCCTCCTTGCAAGTAAATTAAATCATCGGGATATTAAATTTAGCTGTCACTTTGCTGGTTTGAATTACGTTATTAATGTAATTGAAGTAGTAGCTATAAAATGTTGCAAATAACAGAGTTATAACTAGTCCAATGGCTATATAGTTATAGCTTGGGAGCCCAAGAAAAGCGCCATATCTATAACTAATAGTTGGCTCTTTGGTTTTCCTGGTTGGAGTTTTGAGTGTAATGTCAATTTGGAATTTGTTGTTCATTTCTTTAGTAAAGTTTGTCGTTTCAAAATTAAAAAGCAGCCAAATATGGTAGTCTAGTATAACCAGCCCAATCATCGCAACTCGAAACAGGGCCTCATAAACATGGGCCTCCATTTATTGATTTTTTCTTTTTTTTTTTTTTTTTTTTTTTTTTAATAATCCATTTATTGATTTGTTTATTATACTTGGAATTTTTTTTTTTTTTTTTGTCCTCATTATATCTAGAGGTGTCTTACAAAATATATATATGTATTTGTTTACTAGCTTGCTCAATTGGTTTAAAAAATATATAAATATGTAGAGGTGTCAATTTAGATGTTTGGGTAAGATTTGGTAAAGTTGAGTCAAATTTCACACTTTAGTCATGCTAAATTATTATGTACCTGCAAATTAAAATTAAAATTGAATATTTTTCGGATTAATTTCTAATTGAGTTTATCGATTGAGGTTTGACACCTCTAGACTTATATCATGTCTCATGAATGGACTTATTTTACATTACTTTTGAGGAATTTCATTATTACAATTTGACTAAACAAAAGTTAGAACAACTTACTTTAAAACTCTATAATTTTAGATTTAACGTTTAAAGTAAAAATAGGGCCTCATTTTATCATAGGCGAACATGGCCTATATTTATCGTGAAGGACTTGTTAACAATAATGTCTGACGTAGAAGCTAAAGACAAAGGGTGTACGTAGTGAAGCATTATTTATCATGATATTAAGTTCATTATATATTTCAAAATCAATTGATAATTGACTTAATGTACGAAAATGGTCGGGTCGGATAATTTTTAACCCCATTTATGCAAGTAGGCGGGGAACAATGATTAGTTTAGAGGAATTGATTCATCGTATCGCCTTCTATCTCAATTATGAAGGAATGTCAAAATATGGAGTTCTATACATGGAGTGATGAAAACAATAATCGAAACTTTAATCTCAATGTTGGGATCAATTACATGAATCAAAAATTTATCTCCTCTAATCTTCAATCCCAATCCTCTCCTTCCATTTCATTCTATGTATACAATAATGAGAATATGAGATGCTCTTACAAACCCAACATCTTCTTGCTCTTCATTCTTAACTCATTTAATTAATAATCCAAGTCGTTTTTGGTCTTATCCACTAATATTACAATGTAGATAGGTGCCATCCCATTTAACTTAATTTAATTAATCAAAACATTTTTACATGTGATTGTAAATTGATTAAAAAATGACAAATTCCTTGTTTCGTATATTGAAAACGAAATTTGTTTCTTATGAGCGCATTTTCATGAATAAATCTACAACTTTTTCATTATTGTGAGCTCCACGATTGAGAAAAGTTATTAGTTTATTTACGAAAATATCATATAAGAAACAAATTTGTTTCTCACCAGTTATGAAAAATTGGGGCATCCCAAAAAAAAATAAGGCCACCATACATTGCACCTATGCAAGCAAATCAGTTGCACAACGTCTGAAAATAATGGCCCACAAAAATTTACAATTGCTAAAGGATTTTATGTATGCTTAGATTATTGATTATTGTGTGACCTAGGCAATGTCCCACGCTATTACTTTGAACATCTGGATAGTAAAGTTCATTTTTTGTTTTTTGTTTTGTTTTTTTTTTTTTCTTTCAATCTTTCTGTAAAAGTTTTCCATCAAACCTCTAAATATATGAACTTGGCTTATAAATTGTATGACTTTGAGTTAAATTGCACTTTATCTCTTCGGGTTTTTTATGATCTATGAAAGAACCATATATACTCATAGTCATGTATATATGTTATGATTTGATCAAGTACATTTAGCTAATTAATAATAATTATCAATCAATTATCGGTAATATATTTGTTATACTACGTATAATAATATGTTGAAACAAACCAATTAAACAACTAACTGTTTTATTTTTGGGTTTTGTCACGTGACAAATAAACTTTTATGATAAGGCTGTCTCAATATAGGAGGGTACTCTAGGACAATAACAATAAGAGCTTTGTCTAAGATTTATCTTATTCCGTATCTTTTCAGAGTTTTGTAAATGCAATAAGTTTGATATTGGTACCATTTGTTTTACATGTTGACAAGTGGAGTTTGCTTGGCTCACCCTTTTTTAGAAAAAAAAAAAATGAATTTAATGAGTTGTATTAAGTCCCATACTTAAACCTTTGAACAAGTTTATCATTTTATTTTATGTTTTTGAATAAATCAACATGTTTATTGATTGTTGATAATAGGATTGTTGGATGAAGAGTTTGTATGATGATATGGCAAGTAAACAAACCCTTAGAGGTTCGTTTGATTGCTATTACCCTTATCATTTTAAGGTGTCTAAAATGTATATATTGTGTAGTGCCCTTCCCGCCATGTACCCATCAACGCATCAATGCAATGCAAGATGACTCTCAACATCACAGCCAACTAAATTTACTAGTCTTGTGCAGTTGTGCTACCCATTTTCCCCGGTAATGTGACACTAGTGCTCAAATAATTTCATAAAATACAACTGTTATTTTACATTAACCATAAACTCTATAAAAACCTCCATAATTAACCTTCCTAGCCAAACACCATCTCATCGCTTAGCATTCTTCTCTTAAACAAACAAAAAAAATTCAAGGCAACAAAAATATGCCTAGTAGCCGCAATCAAATGTCGCTCATCTCCATTACTATCTTCCTCCTCCTCCTCTCCTCGACATTATCGGCCGAAAAATGTCACCCCGACGACAAGAAAACCCTCTTTAAGATCAAAAAAGCCTTCAACAATGCCTACATTTTCGCCTCATGGACTAACGACACAGACTGTTGTCAATGGTACATGGTCAAATGTGACAGAGTCACTCACCGCATCTACTCCCTTACCGTCGATAAAGACGATAAGGTTTCGGGTCCTATCCCTGATGCGGTGGGTGACCTCCCTTACTTAGAGATCCTCAGATTCATTAGACTCCCTAAGGTAATCGGTCCAATCCCACACGCGATTTCTAAGCTTAAAAACCTAACTAACTTATGGCTTAGCCACAACAACCTCACCGGTCCAATCCCTGACTTTTTTAGTCAACTTCCTAAGTTAACCTGGATCGACCTCTCCGTTAACAAACTCACCGGTCCAATCCCGCCTTCATTATCATCCCTACACAAACTCAACCTACTCATTTTAGAGCGTAACCAACTCCAAGGACCCATCCCCGAGAGCTTCGGAGAGTTTAAGAATATCCCAAATTTTTACCTTAGGTTAGCCAAGAACCAACTTTCGGGACCGATCCCGAGATCTCTCGGAGCGATTAGCTTCATGGGTATAGATTTTTCGAGAAACATGTTTACGGGTGATGCTTCAGTGATTTTTGGGAAGAACAAGGAGGGATTACTATGGATTGATATTTCAAGGAATAAGTTTTCTTTTGATTTTACAAAAGTAAGGTTTCCTAAGAGCTTGAGTAATCTTTTAATGAGTCATAATCAAATATATGGAAGTCTTCCACCTGCATTAGGAAAGTTGCCAATGTTGCAGTTCTTTAATGTGAGTTACAATCGGTTGTGTGGTAACATTCCAACCGGAGGCCAGTTGCAACAGTTTGACCAGTACTCTTATGCTCATAACAAGTGTTTGTGCGGCTCTCCCTTGCCTCCTTGCTAGTAAAACACCGGCATTTTATATTTAGTTGTCATACTGCTGGTTTGAATTACGTTGTTAATGTAATGGAGTTAGTAAATGTCTCGAATAATCGAGCTATACCTAGTCCAATGGCTATATAATTATAGTTTAGAGGCCGAATTTGGAATTTGTTGTTCATTTCTTAACAACTTTGTCGTACTACATGTTACATACTCCCTAGTCCGAACTCTATATAAAATTGTGCACATCTTTCATCCTTTGAAATAAGTAAAGTACTTGTAGTTTTTAGTAGTGTAGGATGAGCTAGGTGGTGGGCCTGGTGGCTGTTCGATCTTGATGAAAAACATAGTGAAGGTTGGAGTTTGGTTATTATGAATTCACCTTAAAATCCGTTACTACAAAATCCAAACAAGCTTGAAGCTTCCCATACCTCTTAGGCAATATTCTCTTTCATATCTATACATATCGGTCTTTAAATTATTTTTGTTGAAGATAAATTATTTTTATTAAATAAAAATAAATTATATTTACTGAAATTTATCAAATCAGCTGACTTAAATTCAATTGTCATTACTAATTAAAACTTAATTATACTGTTTTTTTAGTTGACACATTGATTTTAGCCTTAATAACCTACTTCTCTTTAACTTGGGTTGTGATTTATACATTTATGAAAAATATAGTCATGTGAGATTTAATTAAATACATCGCGGTATACATTTTTAAAATATCATGTTTTAATAATTTTTGCTTATCGGTAATCAAAGATATTAATGGTTGAATTTGTGCAATAACAAACGTAACTAATAAAGAAAACGTGCTAACGAAAAACAAATAGAGGAAAAATATATGCTGAAAACACTAAACTTATTTTTATTGAATATGACTGAACTGTACTTATTTTTACATAATATTATTTGTTTAAGGTGAACTAAAAACATTAATAAGAGTTGGTTAAGGTTGGAATTATTTTATGTTTTATACTACTCTTAGGGCATGTTCAGATTTACTGAATTAAGATGAGCTGAACTGATCGGAGTTGAACTCAACAGAACTATGCAGAAATGAATATTTTATGAGAGAAGAAAATTAGAAGCTGAACTGGATTGAACTGAACTAAACTAAACTAAACTAAACTAAACTGAATTAATTGGAGCTGAACTGAATTAACTGAAATTAAGCTGAAATAGCCCTAGATTATCAAAGGAGAAATACTTGTATGCCACTAAAAGAAAATACTCGTAGTGCAAATTTAACATGCATCAAACTTTGAGATCTAATGATTTTTCAATTTGCAATCTTAAACCTTATCCATTTCTTTGCCGTCATTATATCATCATCAGTGGACCTAAGTGATACGAGTACGTATTAGACAACACTTACACACATTTATTGATGCCGCCATGCCGGACCACCGCGTGTGTTTGTTGACTAGGAATAATTGAATAGGATAATTATCAATGTATTTTAAATTTACATTTATATTTGATCTTGTGTACTACAAAGCTCATGGATTAAAAATGGAATACTTCCCATTTGAGGTTGTCTGAATCCATAATAATTCTAGTCATAGATGATAATAACAAGTGTTTATTAATATTTGTAAGCATCACATTGGTATAATAATTGAACAAACACAAAGCTCTAAAAATGCCAACAAGTCTATTGTTACTTTAAAGATCTTATGTTGATACAATATTATTCTTACATGAGCTCTAAAAGTATATCAATGGACAAGTAATTATTGGCGTAAACGTCCTCCTTTGTACTTTAACAAGCATCATTAAGACATTAATACTAATTATAACAAAATATATATGTTTTAAAAAGGGTCTAATAAATTACTTTGTGATACTTTTCATTTTCAATAAATAAATAGTTTTACTTTTAATTGGCCTAATCCCATCCCAGATGAAAATAGTTTCATGTCATCCAAGTATACATATTAAATTTGCTTGATTTGGACAAACATCATCAGTATAATGTAAACAGGCCAAATTACCGTATTATTTGAAGATAAAGGTGTTTTAGGGATAAGGGTCTGTTCTCATACGTTTATTTTCAGTCAATTCAGTTCAGTTCAGCTTAGCTCAGTTCAATTCAGCTCCTAATTTCCGTCCTTCTCTCTTATAAAATATTTAGTTCAGTTTAGTCAATGATAACAGGCCCTAACGGTCTTTAATAATAAGGATCTTGCTAACAGTACATACGATTAATATAATATGGTTTCAATTATTGTTAGTGCTATATGTCAACCGATAATTGTATAAATAACCACACATATAGATCCTAGTGTAAGCCATAAAAAACACTAAAATAAAAATGTCATCATTTGTGCTACTAGTGAGTTTTTTCTTTTATTTCCTTAATAATTTCTCAGAAGGCAAATTTGCATGCCACCCAAATGACAGAAATGCCCTTCTACAAATAAAATCACACTTTATTAACAACGCTTCTACCTTCTCCAACTGGGTTCCAAACACGGAGTGTTGCTACTGGTCTAACGTCGGGTGCGACGAGGATGGCCGAGTGGTCATCCTCGTCGTAAACGACGCAGACGATGTAGTCGGACAGCTCTCGCCCGCCATCGGTGACCTACGTTACCTACAAGCGTTACGATTTTGGAATCTCCCGAACTTAACCGGGCCAATTCCTAGCACTATTGGTAAACTTACAAAGTTGCTAATCTTGGATATAAACAATAATAGTATGTCAGGACCAATTCCTAAAGAATTAGGAAGGCTAAAGAAACTTGAGCAACTTTTTATTACGTCTAACAAGTTTTCTGGCTATATTCCTCCGGATTTGTCCCGCCTTTCAAATCTCGTATATCTCCACCTCTTTGGGTACGTTTGACTATCAAATTTTAGTATTTTTATCAATAATATTGCATTTTTTGAGATTAAACTTTTGTTAGATTATTAAATTTATCATTACTTTAAAAAAGTACAGTATCATGAAACTAGAGTAACGAATTTGCCTAGGTAATAAATGAGTACATGTCACACTTTTTGAATTTTGATATCCACATTTGTGATTTTATATGCAATTTATGCTTAAATATACGTACAACATTTGATTCATAAAATACAATATTAGTGCTTTAAATTTTGATCATTATTTGTGCTTTTCAATTCAAAAGCTCTGTTAGCAAATTTACAAAAGATATCACACAATATATCTTAGCTCGTTTATACCATCATATATGTACTACAGCTCCTCGGAAAAAAAAAAAAAAAAAAAAACATTACGAGTATTGTGTAAATTTTGAGGAAATGTAGAAGATATTCTTTAATCTATGTGACAAGTCCATAACCAGTAAAACTTGTCAAGTTGGTAGAACTAGTGCCAACTTTTAGTGGGTTTGACAAGTCCATAACTAGTAAAATCTATCAAGTTGCAAGAAGAGTTCGTTCCACCGCTTGACTTCCTTAGGCTAGTGAGGTTGAGCATTAAATGTTTTTAAAAAAATCCAAGTGCTCATGCAAAAAACTGACACTGCCAAGAGTTATGTTGCCTAAGCTAAGCTTACAATGGTACAACTTTGTACAAATAATTTAACTAGGTTTTAAACACAAATTCTTATGTACGTGGCGTGTGACCGGCCATCAGGGATTACTTCATTAGTGTTATATGGGTTACTCGATCAGTGTTACATGGGTTACTTCATCGGTGTTATAGAAGTTACTCAATCACTGTTATAGGGGTTATATTATTCTTTTTCAAGCGATCACATAGCGTGTCGCACACAAAATATGCTGATATTTTCATACCAAAGATTTCATAGAAATCAAAATAGTTTTTTTTATAAGAAACTCAATTGTGGTGTAATAAGCATCAAAATCAAAATGTATAATATATATGAACAGATTAGTATTACCCTAGCCAAATATTGTCTGATGTTGCCACTCAAATTGTCATGCTTGACTAGACATATCAATGCATGGTATTAGGAGAGCATTTTATGTACACCCGAGTGTAGGATACATCATGGTAATTTACTCATTAATTTTTGTTCATTTAATAAATGAGCAGAATATTTTTGCTCATTGAGCTAATTAACCGGGTGTATATAACAAATTCTATGATATTAGTGTAGCCATGTAAGCGTGAGTTTTATGAGATTAAGGCTTGTCTGTCAAATTTAAGAGTATGTTCACATATATTGGGTACACCATAATTATTTGGAGTTTGCCTCCTTTTTAAACTAAATCTTGACATAAATAATATCATGAGAGTGCAATAATATAACTTGTTTATCGACTGTACCATGTGTGCACATCAACGTTCAACAGTCAACCCCATTACCCACCATCCTAATCCTATCTCAAGTCCCAACTGTACGCTTCTAGACACCCACCAAGCCACCATTGTCACATTATTAATCATCATGTCTCATGTCTGTCCATAATCGATAATCCCCTAGCTAGCACAATCCTACTAAGGTACTGTTTAATTTACCTAATCACGTTATTTTCACTTATTTTAGGTTTAATAGTCTAGATAAAATAAGTTTAAATAAATTTTTATCTTATGAGGTATATACTGTATTATATTGTTTACATATATTATTACTTTAACTATTATCAGGAACAAGCTAACCGGCTCAATTCCAGCAAGCTTTGGATCATTCAACACCAATCTAAGTCTTCTACTATACGATAACCAATTATCCGGTCCAATTCCGAAGTCAATAGGTCAGGCAAAGCTCTCAAAAGTAAGCGTATCAAATAACCAACTATCAGGCGATGCATCTTTCTTGTTTGGGAGCGATAAGACAGTACTCACCGATGTATCACTAAGGAATAACAAGTTTAAGTTTGATTTTAGCAATGTGGACTTGCCCCAAGGTCTAAGAAATCTTGACATTGCTCATAACATGATATATGGATCACTTCCGAAACGACTCGGACAACTCCCGTTGCAGTCGATTGATGTAAGCTACAACAAACTTTGTGGCAAGATCCCAACAGGACGACGATTAAAGACGTTTAGTCCTTCCTTCTTTGCCCACAACAAATGTTTATGTGGTGCTCCTTTACCCCCTTGTAAATAACCCTATAGATGATTGGGTTAGTAATTTGAGTGAACGAGTTGTGTTTGTGTTTTTTAATATATATTTGGGTTTTGCCCTTAAATAAGGTCTAGGGCCTCAAGAAAAAGCCCAATTTTTATAAGATGGGCACCCTTTTTTTTTTTGTATAACCTTTTGAATCTTTTACTGTATATTTGTATTTTTGTTTGGAAAATTGATAGGAATAATCCCAACTTTGTTTAATTCGTCTAAAAGAATCCCAACTTTTGATTATTTTTTAATAATCCGAACTTTGATAAAAATTTGCTTTCAATGGTCGCCAGTGAATAACCTGATGAATAGGTAATTTTTTAAAAAAATGTTTTACGTACACATGTCATTGCATGATTGGTAAAAACAAGTTTAATTAATTTTAATTTTAATTATTGATTTAATTGTTTAATTAATTAATTTTTTTAAAAAAAAATCACCAACGTAACAACCGCCGCCCCCAGCCCAGCTTGGCCCCACCTCTGACGGCCGACGCCTTGCTGAGCTCCTTGGCTGGTCGGCGCCCATCACTACGCTAGCTCATTTCCCCCTCCCTCGCCGGCGAATATCACCTCACTCCTCTCCCCATCCAGTTTGGTTTTCTTGGTTGTTTAACATAGGCTTTGTGTTGTTTTTTTTTGGTAGTTTTGAGTCTGATTTAAGATTTAATGGGCCGACAAATAGGGTACGAAGGTCGTTTCGAGGAGGAAGGGGCGTTTATGCCGCAGAGGATCGAGGAGGGGGAAATGGGAGGAGGGCAACTTGCGTACGTTGGGGTGGGACAATTTGGGGAGTAATGGTTGTTCGTGGGAAGGGGAAAGGTGGTCGAGCTTCGCCGGTAGGCACTGGCGGATCTACTAAGGAACCCGGGGTACCCCCAAAAATTTAGAAAACAATTAATAAATAATATAATTCGCAGAATGTAGTTAATATTGCGTGTCGCTCTAGTGGTTAAAGTGGGTTTTATCAATCTAGATGGTTGGGGGTTCGAGTTCCATACTCTTCCCTTTTTGTTTTTACTTTCTATTATTTTCAGAAGTCTACTGTTGCTCAATTAAATTTCCTACTTACTTCCATATTTTATTTACAATTAGATTGATTAAGATTCCATTCAAAAAAAATTGATTAAGATAAGATCTTCCAATTAATAATCAACAATAGTAAAAAATAAATAAATAAATAAATAATTCACCAATAATATTGTTATTGTTATTGTAATTATACTCCACATTCATATTCACAATTTTTACCAATTAGGTGTTAGTGTAGTGGTGATTGGGACTACACTTGGTAGGGAGAACCTGTGTTCGATCCCCAAGGGTGATCCGGGTAGAACACCAAAAATATTCACAATTTTTAAAAAATCCTAATCCCTCTATTTTTTTAATAAAAAAAATTATGTAGTATTAAATTTTGGTCGCTATTCACTTTTAATTTTATGTCTCTTTTTAAATTTATTAGATCTTGGCCATTCACCTTTACTTTTACATTTTATTCATCTTCACATTTTTTAAAAAGATACTAATCTCTCTATTTTTTTTTTCTATTCTATAGTATTAAATTATTCACTTTTTTTTTGAAACAAAATTATTCATTTTTATTTTTATTCTCTTTTTAAAATTATTAGATATTGGCCATTCACCTCTACTTTTACATTTTATTTATTTTCACAATTTTTAAAAAATGCTAATTTGATCTTTATATTTTTTTAAATTCTGTAGTATTAAATTTTGGTTGTCATTCACTTTTATTTTTAAGTCTCATTTTAAATTTATTATATACTTGTAAAAATTTTGACATCATGATTAATAGTTACAGGGTGCATTAAAGTAATTCATGTCACATAAGGAGTAATTTTAATTGTCTAGTTAAGGTACAATTCCTGGATCCGCATTAAATAAATTATATACACAGTGGCGGATCCAAGAATTGTCACATAAGGAGTAATTTTAATTGTCTAGTTAAGGTGTAATTAGTACAATCTTAAAATTCATGTCACAAAAACACGCGCAAATAAAAAATAAATTGATTTTTTTTAATTGTCTAGTGCTACCCCTAGTTAAAATTCCTGGATCCGCCACTGCCGGTAGGGGAGGGGTTATTTGTGCCGGCGAGATCCTCCAGCCGGGGTGTGGGTCAGGTGCCGGCAGACGAGAGGCGTTGGTGGCGGCGGTGGCTTGGCTAGGCTGGTACGGTGGAGGTTTTATTTTTTAAAAATTCCTTTACAGTTTTTTTAATTGTTTTTTTAAATTTTTTATTTTTTATTTTTTTTTACCAATCACATCTTGACACATGTCAGTTGACTTGTTATAACAAGTTTTATAGCCGGTTAGGACCATTGGAATCAAATTCATATAAAAGTTCGGATTATTAAAAAATAATCAAAAGTAGAGATTATTTTGAGCGAATCGAGCAAAATTGGGATTATTTTTGTCAATTTTTCTTTTTGGTTTGTAATTTTACATTATCAATATACTTCTTCTATTGTTTTTTTAAGTGCAACACTTTTATAAACAACCTTCTATATATCGCCTCAATATCAGGGGCGGAGGTAGGGGAGGGGCCGGTAGAGGCCTGGCCTCCCTGGCCCATCATGGCAGCCTAGTTTTTTTAATTGCTGGCACCCATAAGTTTTATTGATAAGTGTAAATGTTAGCTCAAAATAAAAGCAAAGTTGGGCTGCTTAGTTGGTTTGAGGAGGATATGAAAGTGTTTTATTGTCATGACATCACAGATCAATCCTTCATCTATAGTTTTTTTTGGCTTTTTTTTACTTAGTATCATTTTAAATGTATGTATTTTGATTTACAGGTTTTTTTTTTAATATATACATATGAAAATAATGTGATTTCTTCTACTTCTTCTCATAGTCATTTCTTTCCTATTTTTCCAATTAACTTTTTTTTTTGAATAAAAACTAACTTTTTAATATAATACCATTTTTTATTAGTATTTTTTTTCTTAAAAAACCTATATACATATAATATGATCAAGTTTTGACATTGGTATTTAAAATTTCTAATAATTGCATTTATTTTTTCCTAATAGCTCTTAAAAGTTTTTTTTTTTCTTAAAAAAAAAATTTACATAAGAATCGGCCCCCTGGTTCTTAAAATTCCTGGCTTCGCCCCTGCTCAATATCCCTTTTCTACTTTTTGTTTATTATTTTCTCTCTTACATCACTTACTTTTAAATAAATTATTCATGAACTTTCTCTTTTTTTCATAACAAACCCCACTTATGTAATACTTCCATTCTTTGTTAGTTGACACCTTTTGTTAATCACCTTTATCAACAAACAATTTTAACGATTAAATAGCTCTAATTATCAACATTGTAAAATTATAAAAAGTGAATATTATTATATTAATAAAAGCTACATTGAAATAATTTAAACAAGATATTTTATAAATAGTGCAAAAGTCAAAACATATCAAGGGGAAGTATAACATATGTTTCGTGAAGATGAAATTTAAAACTTTGATTGTGTTTAGTAATTACTACATAGGTATGGATTTGGATTAAAAGAAAAACAATGTCATATGAATTCTAGTTGGATGCTTGATAATTTCTGTTGTTAACATATCAAAGGTTTATACGAGTATAATTTATGTAAAATGTGTAAATAAAGATAATAACGTTCAATGGTATTATACACTTTAGACCATGCGAAACTCAAGTATGAAGTACTTGAGTACTTGTATATATTAAGGCAAGTAGTGGAAAACATAAAAGTAAATCTAGAACAAGTAAATTGAGACAAACATAGTTATATTCATCATAATATATTGAAATTTTCAATTATATAAATCTACAAATTAAATCAATGGAACACGATAATATACAAATAAAGCATAGGAGCCGCCATTATTGAATTATATGAAAGACGTAATTCACCAAATTAAATAAATTTACATATATTAAAATTAATAAGTTTATCTTCCTAAACCGGTTCACTTGCAAGCCGGAAGCGGACCGCCACAAAGGCACTTGTTATTTCCAAAAGAATCAGCCCCAAACCGGGTCAACCATTTTCCGGTTGGAACCGGTCCACAAAGCTGGTTGGAGCTCACATTAAAAACTTGTAAGGGTAACTGAGAAAGTTTTCTTGGTAATGAACCATATATCATGTTATGGCTAACATCAAGACCTTGTAACCTTGAGCTAAATACCACGTTAGAGAAGTCAAATGAGAATGCATTGTTCTTTAAGTATATTAAAATTAGTTTTGGATTTCTAAATAAAAATGAAGCATCCCCCGTGAACCGGTTGTTTGAAAGGTCTAGCCAGCTAAACCCGGCTTGGCTTAATGATTTTGGGATTGGGCCAGAGAGGTGATTATCGCTGACTTGTATGGCTAGGTTTTTAAATGAACGAAAGCTCTCGGGGATTGAACCGGAGAGCTGGTTTTTTTGTAGGGTGAGTTTTTGGAGATTGGGGATACGAGATAGAGAGGCGGGGATTAGACCGTTGAATTTGTTCTCTGATAAGTCAAGGATATTTAGTTTTTTAAGCCGGTATAGAGATTGTGGGATTGAACCGGTTAAATTAGTTCGAAAAAACTCGAGGTCTTGAAGGTTAACAAGGTTTGAAATAGACGATGGAATAGGCCCAGTTAAACCAGGCATATCATTTAAGTAAAGGACCTCAAGACCAGTCAGCTGACCGATAATTGGAGGAATCTGCCCGATGAGCTCGTTGTTCTGACCGATGGTTAGGTAGTTAACCCGATTAGTTTGGTTATCACACCCAACGTTGTACCAAGTCTTACAACAATCAGTGTTGGGCTGCCATGAGGAGAAAAAGGTAGTGTTTGGACCTAATTGGGCTTTAATTTCAAGAAGGGCATTTTTGTCATTTGGGTGGCAGAGTTCAGCTGCTAGAGAAAGAGTAAACAAAGAGGTGGTGATGAGAAGAGAAAATAGGAAAAGAGAGATTTTCGATTGAGATTTCATTTTGTGTTGTTTTGTATGAATGTCAAAAGCTTGGTTTTTTTGATTGGTGTATAATGAATTTTTATTGTGTCATTTATAGGCATTCATAGCGTACTTTGGGTTTACGTACTTTGACTGA